GTGGGGGTGGGTGGTGGGTGTGGGGGGGGGGTGGGGGGGGGGGGGGGGGGGGGGGGGGGGGGGGTTGTGGGGGTGTTGTTGAAGAACAAAACAACACCCACACCCACACCCACACCCACATCCACACCCACACCCACACCCACACCCACCCATACCCACACCCAATGCTCACATTAACTACATTGATCGACATAGTTACATTAAATTTATACCTTCGTGTGCCATCTTGGATTGTCTCGAATGAGTCTTGGATCGAGATCAACGATGTACGACAACAGATTGAACTGATACCTTCAACTTATGTGCTACTTCCTATTAGTCACTGGAAAACAAATGATCGTATTATGTATAGTATGGCTATGAGATTATATGTTGAACCGATAAATGATAATCCTCAATTGGGATCTATTCTATTTGGACCTATTGTTCTTGGTGGTTTGACTACAAAATCAAAAACAATACAGCGTGATATGAATCTTATTCGAACATTATATTCTACAGTTCACGAACCAATTCAGTTCGAAGCAACAGCTCTGGATAATTCTACTTTCCGATTGTTGCCTCTCTATGAAATCGTCAATGAAACCTATACAGTTTATTTTCCACTTAGTTAAATATTGATGAAAATTTTTTGAAGTATGTATTTTTCTAAAATGAATCTATGCTCAATTGCGGTATTTCTCGTAAATGATTGACTGAAAATTTACGAGAAATACTGCAATAGATTATGAAAGTGAAATTAAACGTTGGTTAGAAGAACACGCACTCCCATCTTCACTACAATGCTCTTAAAATAAAAGTAATAAAATAATATAAATTTGCACCTGTATGTCAAAAACTCTTGTTCAGTTCTAAATTTTCTGAAATTATTTCTTACCATTTTAATTGCAAGCGTAAACGAAAATGCTTTTACTCCCAATTTCAATTTTTACAGATTGCTTTGTGCAAATCTTGCTCATATTCTACTTTCACAAGTTTATCAACTAATAGAAGGGCAATTGGTTGCAAATGTTTTGTTTTTCAGAAAAAACAATAAATTAAATATGAAACATTTGCAGATATGCGCTACTATGTGTTTTGGATATTCATCTGGCATTTAACAAGTGCTCTCATAGGAAATCTTAGAACTATTTTTGTATTCTATTTGTTCATACAAAAATTCTTTTGGGCATAAATGTGCCGAAATATAGCATATATATTCAAACAGTGTCCTCCATATATGAGAAAGCTTTACTATTTTGTTAATGATACTGGAAACTGCATTTTTTTTCTCACTATCTCATGGTGATGAGTATGACTTTTTTCCTTATCTGTTTTAAGGCCTTTTGATCGATCATTTTAAATTGTTAGCTACATATGTGAGTCATAGGGAATCAAAGGGAAAGGAAAGGAAAGGAAAATATATATGTAGAATAGAATGGAGAAAAAGTGACCTTCGTGGGACTCGAACCTACACCTTCTGCTGTTCGGACAGATGTCCTGGTCCACTTAGACTAGAACGACCAACTTAATCTCCGTTTACCGTCAGTATGTATCATCACTGACGCTAACATAAATATTCATAAAATGATGAATATATCTTTATTTTAATTTGTCTTACAGATTATCATTTAATTTTATATAATAGAACGCCAGCTATATAGTTGTAGATGTAAGAATACGTTCTAACAAAACATTTCTCATAATCGGAATCCTTATTACAGTTTGATTCAAATAAAACTAATTGTATTCTATTCTTGAATTATATTAAACATTTAAAGATAAAATTTTCTTGATTGAACTCTGTTGAAGATGTAAGTGTAGATATTCATCATTCTCTTCTTTGCAGAAACTCACCCACTGTATCAACATAAAATTATTACTAGCTAGTAGAATTAGACACATGACCGATATTCTGAAAGGTTCATATTTAGATTTCATAAACAATATCAAGGGATTTTAAAAAAAAATTGCCGCAGTAAACTATTTTGTTCTGTGCTGAGTCCCAGACGTAGAATCTCTTACTTTGATGATGAATTCAGACCTCTGAAATTTATTTCTTCAGCTCTATACTGAACGAATAACCATTTTTGATTTCGATTAAGTTGCAGTTTTTATTTGTTTAGTAATATCTAAATTGCTATCATAGCTATCTACTTCCACTATGAATGTAATATTCTGCAAAATTGCTTGCAAATCATACATTATCCTACTAGAAATGTATGG